TGTGTGTTGACCATAGAGGTTCGCCTTATTTTCCCGTCCCTGAAAATAGGCCCAATCCCTGTACTTACACATTCTCACTTATCTTGTATGCATTATGAGTGTGACAGCGATCAGTGATATTCGCTTCACTGTATTACGCTGTACAATGATGATGATGATGATGATGATGATGATGATGATGATGATGATGATGAATAAGAGCCTTTCTGCAACTCTTCAGACCGTTGTGGAACAGATGTGAGAGAAGCTTAAGCACTCAACTTTCGCCACAGACCGTATCCTCCAGCACTGTGCTGTGGATGTAGTTGCCGACTGGGTGGTCAACTGAAGATTATAAGCAGCACAATCAAGGTGGACTTGGAATTACTGGGTCTCCAATCGGTACATAGAATTCTTAACTGGAACTAGAACCAGAACTAGGTCTCACTGTGCCAACCTTGCCGCCGATCGTCACGCATGAGCTATCATCGTTAGAGCCATCCCTGACAGCAACCAAAACCGGCGCTCGAATATGCGTGATTAATGGTTGTTCAAACTGAACTGAACTGAACTGAAGAGTCATCCCAGAAACCGACTTATCCTCCCATAGGAGTTAGTCATTCAAAAATTGAAAGGTAAGATTATTGAGTTGAGTTCCACGAGAGTCCTATGTATGCCATCCAGTGAGGTATGGTGTATGGCCTTGTGGAAAACACCCACAGATTATTATGTGAATACAACAAATTGATAGATTCTTTTCATTTATTTTTTGTCAGATAGTCTCATTATTATTATATTAATGCAATAACGCCAGAGTGAACAATCTAAGAGTTATTCACTTCATCCTATGCTCACAATAAACTTATTTTCTTACCCACTGCAGGATTGTGTTAGTCGCGTTTTAATCATCATTAGAAACTAATCGAATTTCAAATTGTCTCACCTTAATAGAAGACCACGCATTGAAGACTTCCTCCGAAGAGCCTCCGAAGAAATTGAGAGTTTTGGTCATAAAGCGTTTCCATTTCCGTGTTCCTGGTAAGTTTTTCTGTTTGGATTGCGATATTGACACTTTTGCTTAATAGTTCACGAAGTTCTTTGTGCTTAAGGGCTTCGTTGTTTCTTGCAGCAGACAGGCTTTACTGGTGACTGAGGTTGTCACTTATGTTGCACATAACGGACTGACAAACAGTAAAACATGAATGATTCAAGTTAATTCAAATCAAGTAAAGCTTTATGCACCCGATAGGATGAATTTTCAGCATTTTCGACATGTTACGGTAGGGAAGACGTTAAGTATTGAAAAAAGAAGTAATATATATTTACTAAATGACAAACAGACGGATTTAGGTAAAATCCTAAGGTGAGGGATGATTGTTCAAGTCAGCAGTGATATTTGCTCGGTTGATTAAGATGCGAGCAAAATAAGGGATCACGCTGTTTTTATGTGTGGTGGTGCGTGCATAAAGAATCCGAAATTGGGAACGGAAACCCAGATGAGAGACCGATTTATTGAGATGGG